GCCATTAAGAATGTTTTATAGCCTGCAACAGACCCATACATGTGACATTTCATGCAAAAACGGATTTGCAACCAACGATATTCTTTCCACGAGGTAAAGGAACCAAAGACCAAATACCTTGTTTTGGTTGCTGCAGTAAACAAATTGGGTTCATTATCAATGTGGGAACTGGGTTTTCAAAACCAATTGGTAATGAGAGAGGAGTAATTCATGTCTAGTATAAACTTTTATTAGGTCTCTTATCTTTTCAATGTAGGATCGTTAACATGCCCCTCAAGATCATGACTCTTTTGACTATATCACACTTTTGGATCGGATGCTTGTTTGAGCGTTTTGAGCTCTGGTACCATGAGAAGGTTTAAGAGATTGAATAAATTTCAATGATTTGTTCACTCACTAATACTAAAACACTATTGTAGACTTTCCATAACATTTTTTAAACACGGTGGCAGGTGATGAGCATTTTTATTGGTGCTATACCGAATGTTATAAAAAGTCATTGAAAAAATCATAATTTAATACGATGAAAAGTTTTTTATAACTCGACCAAAAATAATATTTTACGTTTTTCATAACTTTAGAAAAACGCAATAAAAAACTGTTGTTAACATTAAACAGATGGTATCGTTCACTTTTTATTACTTTTTTTTATAGCATTAAAAAAACGTTTTTCAACTTTTTATATTTGATTGAGAATGTTTTCTTTATATATACTTATAGCTTTTTTCTAATGCTGCAATAAATTTTTTATAGCATTTACTAAATTCTTTAATTATTAGTTTTTAGGAAAGTTTTAAATGTCGACGCAGATGAAAATGTTGAGGTCTCAATTTTATGACAATGTCGATAGAAATATCTATAAAATGTCGACGTCGATAGATAGTTATGGAAAAGTTATAAAAATAAAAAATTTAAAAAATATATTTAAGTTAACCAATAATCGTTTCACCTTTTCTAAATAATTTAAAATGATTAAAATTAATATTATCTCTATATTAGTGAAATTTTGTTGATATCTTTTTTATTTTGTTGATTTCTGTAATACTATGGAAATATCGATTTACCCCTCATGTTAATATTAAACCTATGGATACATGGATACATCGATGGACATGTCGACATGTCAACCATCACTATATAATCGTCAAACTATATTAAATATTACTATAAATTTTACTTTAATTTTTACCTGATGCTATGGAGGGCCCTACCCCCATTTCGGCTCTTATACATGCTACTATATAGTAAATGAAATATACAGAATTGTGATCAGTCAAATATTGCAAAGCCCCGATATCTATTATCGGTCAGAATTGGAGATGAAATAAATAAAAAAATGGATTTTTGTTCAAGAATGAAATCTTACTATTACTATTTATTTGATCGATAGACACATAAACTGAAAAAATCATAACTATACTTAACAATAAAACACTCGGAAAAGACCACATATGTCAGAAGGTTTTTCGTGGGATAATAAAATGATACATATGTAGAGCTACTTAACCACATATAACAATATTCAGTTGTATTAAAGAAGAAAGAGTTTAGAAATATAAATTCATTTAGACTAACATTTACCCATTCCTCATACATTGTTACAAATGTAACACTATTTTTCATTCCTTATAATATATCCAAATGAAATAAGTACAGAAATTCAAGTAAATATCAAAATAAAGTACATAAATCTCAAATATATGTTCATTTTAACTACAAAATATCCAACAGATCGCGGTGCATGTCCTTGCAAATTTATTCTAACTATTTAGAAATCATAATTACATAAAAGGATTCAAATGTATAAAATTTATATTTTTATCATGAAACAACCTCTAATTAAGATGGTATCCATCGCACAAATTACTACTATATCCTTTTGAGGATGCACCTGAATATTAAATAATTTTTAAAATCCAGAATCGGTAAACTGAGAGGTCACTATTTAAAGTCCTTAAAATTTGCCTAATTATACTAAAATCATTCATTTTCGAAAAATTTGAAACACATTCCTCGACTTTTCTTCTTCTGCCATTCTTCTTCTTCGGTCGTCTCTGCATTCCTTCGTCTCTGACCGACTCTCCAACCGCCTCCGTTTTTCTCCGTCGCTAGAACAGTTCGTCTCTGTTTGTCCCGATCGAAAGGAGATTTCCGTCTGTTCTTCCTCTGTTTTCCATTTGTTCTTCTTCTCCAATCATTTTGCATTCCTTCGTCTCCAGTCGACCATCTGCCTGCCTTCCTCTCCGGCCGCCTTCGTTTTTCTCCATTGCCAAAGCAATTCGTCTCCATTTATGTCAAGCAAAAGATTTGCATTCCAATATATCCTAATAGTTTTCTCTTTCAGATTTGAACAATGTTGAAAACCTTTTTTTGTACTGTTAAACCCTTTCAATGTTCCTTCCATGCTCGAGTAGTCTCTGATGGTTGTTTTCGATTTCCGATTTCGTGTGAACTATATGGAATTTACTTTATATTCGGATATATTTTATAACTCAAAAAGGTTAGTCGGATATAATTTAAAATGCTTCAGTAGTTATGTGAACTTCCAAATATTGCTAGGGTTTTTGATGGACAGAACTCTCTAAATGTGAAAATCAATAGAAGTAGTATTGGTCAGTACATAAACAATTGATTTTCGAGGATCACGGTAGGAAAATTATTCTGCCAGTTGCTTATAACTCAAAAAATATTCTGTCGGTTAGAATTTATTTTATATCCGGATATATCTTGTAACTCAAAAAGGTTAGTCGGATATAATTTATAATGTTCAAGTAGTTGTGTGAACTCTTACATCATTTTCGTCTTTTTTTTTTCTACTTCTGCATTGTTAGAGCCGCCATCAACACCTAGATTTTGACCATTTTAAAGATTCAAAGATTTTTCTCACAATTCTCATGTCCTCCATTGTTTGGGGAAGAGAATACCCTGGACACGTGGAGGACCCCTATTGGTGCTCCAAGATTGCTCATGAGTCATGCCCAGCTCGGATAGCCGAGATGGCCGCCACTAACGTCGACAAATGCTAAGTATGAGGGCCGAGGTGAACCTGGCCCAGGTCTGACCTGCCGGGGAGCTCGGTAGGGGCTGATGTGAGCAACTGTCTGCGGCGTGATTATCAGGCGTAACCGTCGGTCCCGAGATTACCGAATGTAACCGTCGCGAGATTAGTGGGACTACAACCCATAAGTAGAGGACCTCACTCCCCGATCAGGTACGACGATTTCTGGCCTCGAACTAAACTTGGAATCCGACCTATACTGACTTGATCGTCGGAGTGCTCACCTTTTTGTCCAGGTCCGCCCAAGTGTTCAGGTCGGTCCGGAGGCCGAGTTCGAGCTACAATCTGGAACACACTGTTGTGCATATCCTTGCATAAACATCCATTAATGTGTTTTCTTCATCGACAACCATTCAAAAAGTCTAGGGAACCATTGGGAGGTTAGTGAAGAGATGAACCTGCTATAGAATAAGGAGAAATCCGTTTGGAAAATTACGAAAGGAGAGAGAATGATTTGAATATTTTTGTAATTAATAATATTGGTAAATCAAGATAATAAATCATTTTGAATGAGTGAATTAAGGGATTAGTGTTAGAAATTTGTATGAGACCCACAATAATTAAAGGATTATGATAACAATGTATGAAATTAAATCTTTTATATTTAAAAAAAATAAATAACTATAATAAATGTAAATGCAATAAATAAGGGTAAAATTGGTATTAAAATAAAAGTGTAAAATTGGAAAACTTTAGACATTTGTGTAAATAAATTTTTAAAAGAGGCCTCCGAAAATATTATCTCTTGGTGCGTTGATTTCGTGGATCTATAAAAAGCCAAAAATAATAATATATAAGATTAATGTTTACTCTAACGTATTCAAATTATCAGTAAACACAACAATTCTTTAATACTTGCAAACAATCAAAATTCAAAAATTAAATTTAGCGTCGTGTCTTTACTTTATAACAATCGCCCATAATAATACCTACAATCTCATCGATGACCATCATGTCAAACATAGGCATACATGAATATGTTTTGGATTAGTTTATCGTATCAACTTACACTCGTATTACTCAAAACGGACGGAATAGGCAAAATTAGACTATTGAATTTGTGTAGGCTTATCATGTGTAGGCATTCATAAAAAGTGGTATAAAAATGTGAATTTTATGGCCCATCTCTTTATAATTAATCAGTAAATGTTGAGTTGACACGTGTTATTTATTGTTATTGGATTTGTTAAATACGCACTGTAAATAAATAATATGTGAGAGTTAGTTATTCTGAGGAGTGGGGAATATTATTGTCAAGGAGAACAAATCTTTTGTAAAAAAAAGAAAGGCGAGAGAGAAAAAGGGTACCAATCTTCTCATAATACTACTTGTATTTCGATTCTCATACTTGGTGGATAAAGTGTTGAGAGGTACTATTAGGAGTATTAGCTTTTAGTACTTTTGTAACGATTTTGTTTAGATTACTCTGGTAACAATATTCCATATTCTTGTAACTGCTTGGTTAAGTGATATATTTAAAAAAAAACCTTTGTTTTGTTTAATGAAAGTGTGCAAGATTTAACTCGCTCTCAAAGTTGAATATGATATCACAGCACTATTGAGAATTTACCAGGGTTATTCTAGTCTTTTCCCTTTTTTTTTGGTTACTTTACCTTTCTTGCTCGGTTCCTTCCATTTTCATCTGCCATGGCCGACGACGCACCTCAAGCTCCAGTAAATCCCACTCCCACTACGAGCTTATCCTCTTCTTCGAACCAGTCTTCTCTTGCGCAACATGCGGATCCATATTTTCTTCATCATTCTGACAACACCAACCTTGTTCTGGTTTCTAATTTTCTTACGGATGAGAACTATACTTCTTGGAGCCGATCCATGACTATTGCACTCACGATCAAGAACAAGATTGGTTTCGTCGATGGAACTCTTTTGAGGCCTACGGATGACACGTTAATTCATGGATTGTTTGTAACAATGTGGTAATATGTTGATCTTGAACTCTCTTTCTAAAGAAATCTCTGCTAGAATTTTGTTTGCTGAGAATGCACGAGAAATTTGGTTGGATCTTAAAGAAAATCGACCACAAATTTTTCAGCTTAGGGGCGATTTATCAGATTTGGTTCAAGATCAATTATCTATCAGTGCTTATTTCACCCAATTGAAAACACTTTGGACCGAATTGGCTTCTTACTACTCTTCTTGCACCTGCAGCAAATGTTCATGTGGTGGTGTTAAAGCTATAGGTGAATACTTTCAAATGGAGTATGTCATGTGTTTTTTGATGGGTCTTAATGATTCATTTAGTCAGATTCGAGCTCAGTTGCTACTCATGGAGCCAGCTCCTTCAATTAATTGGGCTTTTGCTCTTATTGCCCAAGAAGTTCAACAGTGTGCGATTTCGTCTCCTTCATTAGCTAATGCCACAGCATTTCTGGCGCGAGCTTCTTCTCCTGCTCATGGTCCACACTCCTCTTCTTCGTCATCCCAGTACAAGAAGAAGGAGAAGACTGTTTGTACTCACTGCGGCATTGTGGGACATATGGTTGATCGATGTTATAAGCTTCATGGATATCCTCAGGATATCGTTCCTCGGTCGTTCGTAATTCTTCAGTGACCACATCTACCAAACCAGTCGATACATCTTTGAAAACTTCCACCACGTCTACCACTCTTCCTAATTCTCTTGCTGGACTTAATATTGAACAATGCCAATGACTATTGAGCTTGTTGCAAACTCACCTTTCTAAGGCTACGAGTGACACTAATTCAGACCCTATAATATTGCACGTTGTAGGTATATGCTCCTCTGATCTATCCTCTCAACATTCCTTTGGTCAATGGATAATTGATTCAGGAGCATCTACTGATATATGCTTTTCTCGAGCATTATTTATTTCTTTAAAGTCAGTTTCTGGGGTCTCTCTTACTTTGTCGAATCAAGCTCGTGTTTCTGTGGATTTTATTAGTGATATACAGATCACACCTAGTCTGCTGCTTCGCCATGTTCTATTTGTTCCTACATTCCGGTTCAATTTGATTTTTGTCAGCCCTTTAACACAGGATTCTTCTCTAATGGTTCGTTTTGTTGATGACTCTTGTCTTATCTAAGACAGGTTTTCCTCGAAGACGATTGGCAAGGGTAGTCTTTGGAAAGGCTTATATGTTCTTTTCGGTGCTACTGATTCGGTTTGTACTGTTTTTAGTATGTCTTCCATTCATACTTGGCATGCTATGCTTGGACACCCATCAAATAAGCATTTATGAGCTTTACAACCAGTCTTACAATTTTCAAATAAATCTACAACTGCTGATCCTCGTTTAGTATGTCCTCTAGCTAAACAAAAGAAGTTGCCATTTGTTGTTCACAATAACATTACAAGTAGTTCATTTGATTTAGTACATTGTGATATTTGGGGACCTTATCAAGCCCCTACTCATGGTGGATTTCGATATTTTCTCACTATTGTGGATGATTTTTCGCGTTATACTTGGATATATCTGATGCGCCATAAGTCCGATGCTTTATCTATTGTTCCTTGTTTCTTTCAACTGGCTACACTCAATTTGGCAAAGACATTAAACAATTTCGTTCTAATAATACCCCAAAATTAGCCTTTACTGATTTCTTTCATGCTAAAGGGGTCATTTATCAATATTCTTGTGTGGGTCGACCGGAACAGAATTCTATAGTGGAAAGAAAACATAAGCATTTATTGAATATGGCTAGGTCTTTGTGTCTCGGGTACCCATTAAATTTTGGGGATAATGTGTCCTTACTGCCTTTTTTCGATTAATGGGCCCCACTTGGCTCGGGGGGATATAGCTCAGTTGGTAGAGCTCCACTCTTGCAATTGAGTCGTTGTGATTACGGGTTGGATGTCTAATTGTCCAGGTGGTAATGATAGTATCTTGTACCTGAACCGGTGGCTCACTTTTTCTAAGTAATGGGGAAGAGGACCGAAACATGCCACTGAAAGACTCTACTGAGACAAAGATGGGCTGTCAAGAACGTAGAGGAGGTAGGATGGGCAGTTGGTCAGATCTATTATGGATCGTACATGGACGGTAGTTGGAGTCGGCGGCTCTCTTAGGGTTCCCCCGTAGTTCTTCTCCTACTTTGGTATGGCATACCCCTTTTGAACGCTTATATGGACATCTTGCTGATTATTCTTATCTACGTATATTTGGTTGTCTCTGTTTTGCATCCACATTGACCGCACATCGTTATAAGTTTCATCCACGGGCAATTACTTCTGTTTTTCTTGGTTTTCCACCTCGCATGAAAGGGTATTGCCTTTATGATATTGAGAAGGGGCAGATTTTCGTGTCATGTGATGTTGTTTTCATGAGCATATTTTCCCATTTCACAATGTTTCCCCAGAAAGTGTTGTTGTTGATTCTTTTCCGGACATTGTCTTTGCCAAAATCTTTTGATTGTTCTAGATTACCTATGACCACTGCTTGTTCTTCTTCTGGGGTTAATGATGGTCTGTCTTCTGTATTGTCTTCTGATGCTTTACATAATGATTTATGTGATGATATATCTGCTGATTCTCCTAATGCCTTGGTTTCTGATGGTATTTTTGCTCGTTCTTATCATTCTGCCGAGCCAAATAATAGTAATGTTAATTCTTCCACTGCTAATGACCATTCGTTTTTGCTTGTCCGCCAACACTTGAAATTTGGCATTACCTGCTCTCCAACGGTCTTCTCGTACTGTTTAAAAACCATCTTACCTTCAAGATTTCACTGCAGCCTTCTCCAGTCTTCTTCATTACCTTCTACTTCCTTGAGATATCCATTGCAAAATTATTTGTCATATGCTCTTCCTTGTCGTCTGGGTATCGTCATTTTGTGTTGAATGTTTCAACTCATTATGAACCATCCATTTACCATTAGACAGTTCTTCACTCTCATTGGCACTCTCATTGGCAGGATGCAATTTGTGCTGAATTGTGCTGAATTGGATGCTATGGAAGCTAATAATACTTGGTCCATAGTGCCTTTGTCTTCCGGCCACCATTCAATTGGATGCAAATGAGTTTACAAGATCAAACATCATTCTGATGGATCTATTGAGCATTATAAAGCAACGTTAGTAGCTAAGGGTTATACTCAGCAAGAAGGTCTTTATTATGTTGAAACTTTCTCACCTGTTGCTAAATTAGTTACTGTCAAGGTCTTACTTCATCTTGTCATTTCATATAATTGGCCCTTAGTACAGCTGGATGTTAATAATGCTTTTTTGCATGGGGATTTGTTTGAGGAGGTGTATATGGATTTGCCTTTGAGATATAAGCATGACAAGGTTTCTCCTAATGGGAGCGTTTGGTTTGTCGACTTCATAAGTCCATTTATGAACTCAAACAAGCATCTCATCAGTGGTTTGACAAGTTTTCACATGCTTTATTACTCCTTGGTTTTAAGCAAAAATCTGATTATTCTCTATTTGTAAAGGGTTATGGTTGTAGCTTTTTTGCTCTTCTTGTTTATGTCGATGATATTATCATTACTTGTGCATCTTCCTCTTTAATTGATGCTTTGAAAGTTCATCTCTATGGTCTTTTTAAACTTAAAGATTTGGGACAACTGCGTTATTTTTAGGGACTTGAGCTAGCTAGTTCTTGTACGAGTATTTTTCTCTCTCAGCGCAACTATGCTCTTTAGATTCTTGAAGACATCGGGTTTCTTACACGCAAGTCTTCTAAATTATCAATGGATCCTAATATTAAGCTTTGTGCTTCTATTGGTACTCTTTTGGGATATCTCACTATGTATCGACGTCTTATTGGTTGGTTATTGTATTTTACGATCTCATGGCCTGATATTTCTTTTACTGTTCATAAACTCAATCGGTTTGTGGCTCAGCCTCGACAGCCTCATCTTCAGGCTGTTCAGCATCTTCTTCGTTACTTAAAGGGATCTACTGGACAGGGCATTTTGTTATCTAAATCTTCTTTTCAACTTCGTGCATTTTCTAATGCAGATTGGGCTTCGTGTCTTGACTCTCGGAAGTCTACTACTGGATTTTGTATTTTTTGGGAGAATCTCTTATTTCCTGGAAGGCAAATAAACAAAGTATTATTTCTCGCTCTTGCTATTACTACCAATGAGATTATTTGGCTTACTCGCCTTTTACAAGATTTGCAGGTTTCTTTTCAACCGCTTGCACTTATTTTTTGTGACAATCAGGCTGCTTAGACATTGCTTCCACTCCATCATTTCATGAGCGTACGAAACACGTTGAGTTGGATTGTCATTTCATTCATGACAAGATTACTGATGGTCTTATTCGGCTTTTGCCTATACGTTCCCGTCTTCAGTTAGCTGACATTTTTACTAAGGCTTTGCCCTCTTCGTTTTTCGTATTGTTATCTAAGATGGACGTTTCTAACATTCACTCTCGATCTTGAGGGGGAGCATTAAGAGTATTAGCTTTTAGTTAGTCAGTTTATATTACTTTTGTAACCATATTAGTTTGTTTAGATTACTCTTGTAACAATATTCCATATTCTTGTAACTGCTTGGTTAAGTGGTCTATTTAAAAGACCTTTGTTTCGTTTAATGAAAGTGTGGAAGATTTAACTCACTCTCAAAGTTGAATAGGTACTGTTGTGAAGTGGATGTATATTATCACAATGGTATCCAAAACCAATATAATTTCTGGATTTTTTCTCTTCTCCACCATAGAAAGACATCATGGTCCCCTGTGAAAAAAAAAATTATTTGCTAAGATGGAAATAAAGATATCAAATCCCTACCAAGATAGCAGAACACATCTTGATCAAAATGATTGTATCTTGTTGGATGTTCAATCTCGGCTAGTATCTAGAGCACAGAATATACGAAATAGATTACAAAATATTAGGACAAATATTAGAACTATGATTCATATTTCTCATTTTTAACTGGGAGATTGATACTTTGATGTTATTTGCTTTTGAGTATTCAGTAATCTCCATCACAAAAAAGTGGAGAAAAATAATAAAACAGAATTGTAGAAGAAAAATGAAAGTTAAAAAATAAGAGAAAGGGAAAATAAGTTGAGAGAAAGCTAAGACAAGAAACATGAAAATCTAATAAAGTAGTGGGAGAAAGGAAGATGAAAAGGCCGAAAACTTGTAATAACAGAAAAAAACCATGTTAGTCGATCTAAATTCATTTATGCAACCACCTTGTTCTAGTATTATCTAATATGATTACACCAAAAGATTATAGCAACTCTAAAGAAAAATATTGTAGTAATATAATTGACAACACAGAGTACCAGAGAGCATTTCTCAAACAAACAAATCATAATAATGGGTACTCTTTCACAATAGAATGTCACAACACAAGGCAACCTACAATTACATATTTTTAGATCACTTAAAGCAGCCCATAAAACATTTTATAGTCCTATCTTGATCATCGAGCTCAATTTGCACAGCTGACTGAGGAATAAGTTTCAAATTTAAACACTCTATTATTAATAATTTTGAATGCCATTTGCAGTAATCAAACTCATTACAATCCATGGCAGATGGAGCACTCGAACAAACATCTAAATTTATCAAATTGAAAGAAAAACTTCAAACTAGCATTGATAAAAAAATTATATAAATTCAAAAAATA